TTAATGGTAAAAAGAATAAAAGCAGCCTAATTAAATACTTCTAGAACAACGGTGATCTTTCCCTTGAAGCAGCAGAAAGTAAACACACTTTATATCTCAATATTTAGGACAACATTTCGGATTTTAAGCATGTGGCTAAGTCATTTTGTCTGCAACCCACAGCAAATCTGTTCATCAGTTTATACCGCCATCTTATGGACAACAGATGTTACTTCCATCGGTGACCTCCGACACCAAAGGCTGCATGCAGTTGGATTTGTTTGGCATTTATTAGCAGGAAGCTCCAACAGTTATGGATGGACCTGCATGTGAGCATTACCAAAGATGGGGTTTGATCCAGATCTGCATCCTGGAATATTTCTGGAAGGAATCTTTATCACAAGATGGTTCGAGATTGGGCGTATTAGATCAAATCTTTGAAAAGTATCCGATTAGTTTAATGCCCAAAGGGAGAAATCATTGTCTCACTTTTAGACCTGCGTTAAGCCAGATGATTTTCTCCAGTTTAAATGATGAGCATGTTAGTCAGCAGGAACAGCCCTAGTCTTGTCAGCTCTTTCCTCTTCAAGACTCAGTTCATGGCTGGTGTGGAGGTTTCAGTTTCAGAGAACTTCCATTAGCAGCTAATCGATAAGAAAAATCACTCAGATTACACAAAGTGCTGCTTAAACACAACTAAAGGCAACACACCCACTCACAATAATCTTACAAGCTTCTCCACACCTACCAACACACACACACACACACACACACACACACACACTAGAGCCCCCTTCTCTCAGTTCAGCTCAGATAACATGAAAAAAATAATCTAAGTTATAAACTATCGAGATAAATTTAATTCAGTTATTTTCATTGTCTCCCTCTTCCCTCTATTTTTATTATACATTACAATAATGAATGTTTAATTATTTACTTTTACTTTATTTTTTATTTTTTTATATATAGCATTTACTTAATCACCAAGAACATTTTTTCCTTCACAATTCTGAATTTTCAATCTATTTTAAAATACTCTGATATGCTACAAATTGTAGAAGTGCATTAATGATACAGGACACTTAAAACTGCATGTTTTTATCCCATGTCAGGCCTCGTATCTAACGTGTTTAAAATAAATATTAATATTCTGCAGCTGCTGTTTCGTGAGTTTTGCTGTATAAACTTCATTAAAATCAACCTGACTGGAAATAAGAGCTGAAACATCATTTTATGACTGAGGATGGCGTCAGAAAGGAGCATGCTGTCTTCACAGTGCTCGTGCTTCCTACCTGTAACACCTGGATCCACCTCACCGTTTAGTTTCGCACATACTGCAGTTTATATTTTTCTATATTTCACACTCACACTTGAGCACCTTTAACAAATGAAATTTCCCCTTTGGATTAATAAATGTCAGACTTCTGGATTATTATTATTTGTTGTTGCAACAGTTTAGGCCTTTATTTAAGAGCCCTCTAGAAAAGCCCCCGTGTGCCTCACAACAGCCACGGCTGCATTGTATCCTGGGAGTTGGATGCCACAGGAGTGTGGGACCAATGCCTTCTCTCTCCTATAAAGCCTTTCCCACCACGTCTATAAAAATCTCTGGAATGAGAGCAGCTTTTGTTCTTCCTTCTCTCACCTTCTGCCATAGAGCTTCTCTGGAGGCCAGACTGGAGCAGGCGGCTACGAACCAGCAGTTTCCCAGCTGACCTTGGTGCAGGTCATGAGCGCTGATGCCATCCACAAACAGATGGGGGTCGCTGGTCAACTCCTGGAACAGCAAAGATGAGACAAATCATTGTTGATAAACTAATTTTCTTCCTTAGAGGCATTACATACACTCAAAACTCTGTAACTGATTACTCATAAAATCGGACCTACAGGCAGCTGTACAGGAACCATCACGGCCCCTGTAAAGTTAATACTTATCCTCATCTTCTTATTTACAGGCTCAATTAATCCACTTCTAACCGTATTATAATTTAATCCAGGTTTGAATCTTTTTATACTGTGTATTTTATTGCAGTGTGTCTCTGGAAAACAGCAGGCGGATGTGGTCAGGACAGCTGCCAGGTGTGGATGAACGTAAAGCGGGGCGTTACCCGGAGCACTCGGTCAAACATCATAATGTAAATACAGAGTAAAATCACTCCCCGATTAACTACAAGTCTCTTCTGAGGGTTCAAAGCCAAACAAACCACAGAGGCAGACTAACGGGACGGCAGCCAAATGATAGAGGTGGGATAAACCAGAGCACACGCCCAGGAAGACCACTAACTGTATGTAGAGACAAATGTACACATGGCTCCACAAAGTTAGCCTCTCAGGGTCTTATATCTGGTGTAGAATGGATTAAAAACAGTATGTTTGTGTACTGCAGATCTGAGCAGAGCCAGCCCACGGCAGGAAGAAAGCTTTACTGTGTGCATTCTCCAAATTAAAGGCCACTTTTAGTGCATATAGCTACTATACATGCACAGACAGTAAAGATCCAGTGTTTCCCTAAGACTGTATTTGAGATGATGGAAGAGGAGAGAGATGGAGGATGTATATGTGTTTGCTCTCTGGGACAAGAGATAACAGGTCTAATATTCAGCTCCATTTCCAGTCAGCTCTCCATCCTGTGGGCTGACTGCAGTTTGACTACAGATGGTGGTCCTTGGTCTGCTTTGCAGCCTCAGCATAGTTGAATGCAACTCTCCACCTTCTGCAGGTGCTGGGTAGAGATCCAGTCACAGAGAGGTAAGAACCTCTCCCGGAAACAGACAGTATAAAAGATGAATGTCGCCCTCCAGGTCTGAAAAGTGAAGCCAGTGCAGAAGTGCCTTAAAACAGCATTCTTTTTAATGGCCACCAGGGGGAGACTCTTCTGGTCCCCAACAGACTTTGGTGGCGCTGAAGTCGATGTTGAAATGAGCCTCAGCTGCCTCTCTCTCTGTGACGTCAGTAAACACGATCCTGAGGAGTTTGAGATCATACTAAATAAAGCGTGATGGTCATTTAGTTAATTATGATTATTATTAGAGTCAGAGTTTATAAACCAAGAGTTATGATTGATAGCTTGTTAGCCAATGAGCACGTCCCTCGGATTCACTGCCAGAGCTAGCCCTGTCGCGCCTGGTTTCAAACACCAAGATAGCGATGCTGAAAACGCTCCGCACTTTCATAAAAGGGCACAGTGTGATATCAGGTTCCTTTATTTGTACCCGTAAGAGGATTTAACCTGCAGCAGGTGAGTCATCCATACAAACTCAAAAGAGATAATATCAATTAAAAAAAAAAAAAAAAAAAAAAAAAAAA